CACGCATATGCCTGTTGCGATTCATGGTTTCTGGTAAATGAAATCAGGAGAGTTAGGAAGCCTCTAGAAAGTCAGTTTGCTGCTCATCTACACTGAATGTTTTCACATGAGCTTCGTTACCCTTCCAGGAAGACAAGGTAACGCCCTGTGATTAAGTTCTACTCCCACCTGGGCAGCCAGCTGAGCATTCCTACACAGAGGGGCGGCTTTTTAGATTATGTTTTGCCTTTCACACCAGACAATTGCTAAATTTTACCATATTTAAACTCTATGTGAGGGGTGGATCAAGGAATGGCAATCAGGTGAGGGCAACTCAAATGTGCCGCTCTGTCTGGAGAATTAGTTCTGATGTGTTGAAGTCAGAGTAAGAGCGTATGTCATTAAGAAACATTTTGTTTGTTTCTGTGAAAATACTCTACAGATTTTTCTACAGTATTTTTTCTGAACTAATTTTTTTACATTGTAACGAAATAAACATTAAAATATATCCAGAAAAGGTAACTGATGTAAGAAGGAGTGTAAAACGACTGTTGGCAATTTTGAGTCTTAGATTCCATTCATTCACACTTTGTTATAATATTCTCATTCCAATAGGAAGGCATTTACAGGCATATTTCAGCTTTTCATCTCAAATGCTAACAAGATAAGTGATGTTACTTAATTTTGCAATTTCTTGAATAAGCAGCATTAATCAAATTCTAGTCCCGTTATTTTTTATAGTAATTTTTTTTTTCCCCTAAATAGAAGACATATTCTTCTCCAACAAAGAGTATCAAAGAGATTGCCTGGTATACTACAAAACACCAATTCAGGCTTAGTAAATTTTCACTTACTTCATAAAAAAGATCATTGTGGGAATGGGATTTTCAGAAAATAGCTACATACAACCTTTTCAAGCTGCAGAGGTAGAATCCCTCTGCTTTGTGCTGCCATTTGTTTAACTGAAGTCAAACAGCTGCACTGTGTGCTATTCAAAACAGTAAACTTCAAAGGACACATCCCGAATTCAGGAGAGACTGTAATTACAGTTCCTCTGAACATCCCCTAACCCTGTAGTCACCACAGAGAAGTCTGCACAAAACACCACCCACACTCTCAGAAACAATTACCACTAATAGCTCATAGTAGAAATGGAAAAGGTATTTTATATTTTCACCTAAGTCCATAAACAACACTAAATTGTTACAACTCCCTTGACAATTCTTGACAACTAAGAAGTGGTTAAAGAAGCCATTTTCCCATTGCCATCCATCAGTCTAGCTTACCGCACCTCTTCCACTCCCAACTTTCTTACCTGGAAGCAACAGTTAATCCTGGAGTTTTACACCAACATGTGATAAAAAAAAGGAACTACAAAACATGGTACTGAAGCTATTTTCCTTGAAGAAGTAGCATCTCACAATGAGACAGGCCAAACAATTTATTTTCCACAATTATCTGTTAAAACTGTTTCTGATTACAAAGACCCTACAGCAGCTCCGCTTTTCAGGACAGATCCACTTACCACAAGAGACACGCTTCCTGAGATAAGATGCGATGCTGTTATCCCAGGAGTATGGCCCATGTGATCCTGGAAGTAGTCAGATAAGTCTTCTTTTCTGTCTTGATAAGATATGTAGTTGTATACAGACTGAAAAGAACTTTCCTAACTATTAAAATGACATGTGTGATGATAATTGATGGTAAAACTACTAGCTTGTATTGAAGGCCAGCTGCAACAGAATTTGCTGCTATTTCTCTCAGTGAATGCAATAAAAATTGTGCAGAAAAAAGTACTTATCTTAACCCTGCATGAGTCTAACCCAAAGAAATAAAGCAGGGGGAAACACAACAGCAAAGGTCAGTTGGAAGAACGCTCCACTTGGCATCAGGTAGCTAAAAGATACCTTTACATTCACAGCACTTGAGATCTTAGGCTAACAAACAGACATTTTTCTTGCAACAGAACTAGATTATAGAACACGGTCACTTTTTTTAGTTAAGTCTCTCATAGAAAACCAAATGATGGAATATCCTGTTGAAGTAAACACACTTCCATTTCACTGCTTGCAATACGAGACGTAAGCTGTTTTAACAGGAAAACCAGGTATTTCTGCCCAGTCATACCCTTGACTATTTAAGTCCAACACCCTTGGCCTTGCCCTGCAAGTACCTTATTTAAGCAGTACTTGCTTCTAAAGAACAAGCACACTATTTTAGTTTTGCTTTACAGAAAATTGTTTCTTTGCATTGTAAAACAGTGCTTTCTGTTCTTTTTGAAATGAGGGAATAAGGTCCCTGCCATGGTCCTTACAGCAGTGCCATTCCAGCACTGCCACCCACCTTCCGCCCTTCACTCAGTCCTTCCCACCTGTCTGAAGGAAAGTCATACGGATGCTGTGTATACCAGCATCTCTCTCCTTTGTCGTCTTCTCACACATGTGGGAGGACAAATTTCAAGAGAAACCTGTTTTCGTGGTGGCTCACTGACAGCACACTGTTTTGTAGATTCTCTGATACCTAATAGAAGACAACCTGACATACCCACACACTGAAAAATTAAGCAAACACAAGATCAACCCTTCAGAAGACAACCTTCATTCGTTCTGGAGCTCACATGCCTTCTGGTGCTGACTTCTCTTTTTTTTTAACAGAGAACTTCACAACAAAGAATTACACTAACTTTGTTTCTTTTGGAGTATTTTTTCAAAAGCACCAAACACATTTTGCCTTTAGAGACAAAAGGCAACATCCTTGGCCTCAAGCACGTATACACCATGGATGACTGAAGATCACAATGTAGTTCTCATCCGGTACCTATTTTTCATGATACAGCAAGGGTTATGTGGATCTTTCGACATACAGAGGCATTCATTCTAACTCTATGGATGGAAAAAACACTCCTAACATTGTGGTACGCACGGACAAAGAAATCTTGAACTTCATAGACAATCATCATGGAATATAAAAAATTATGAAAAACATTATACATTACATGTATCTCTTCTAGAGAGGAAAAAACAAGCTAAAATGAAATATTCTTTTCTCCCCCACTCCCAGTTTTGGAAGCCACCTACTAACTACTATAAAAATGAATGCCATTTCAGATCACAACCCCTTCCACTTCTTACAGACTATTTTTTTCTAAGACATTCTGGTTCAGTAGTGCCACTGAGAGTAAAAAAAACAGTGTAAAGAATTTAATTCTTGTGCTATTCTAGATACCATTGCCAGAGTGACTTTAAATTGCTTTGAACGAACTAGAAAGTTCAAGTTAATTGAACACAAGGATTCACGTTGCAAATTATCTTACTACTAATGGTATGGAAGAAAGAAGCCTGATTAGTAAACCCTGCTGGATACTTGCAATGTGAGAAGTCAAGAGATGCCAGAACTAAATCAGAGACATGAAGATCAATAGTTTTTTAATCAATGGTGGATTACAGTGGGATTTATTCTGCTGAAAACAGCAGGGACAGATAAATTCCCCACTGAGATTAATTACTGGGAAGGGTAGACGCAAACAGAGGAGTGCAGCTATCTTTGTGACAACTGCAAGTGGCAAGAAGGACACCAGTGGGAGTACAGAGCTATTGCCTGCATCTCGGCTGGTGACCAATGACACCCTCATCAAATTCCCAGTCCCTCTTAGTTCCTTAGAAGAAACTGCCTTGAAGCCTGCGTATTATTACAAATATTGTAAACTGAAAAGCAGGGACACCGTTTTTTGGTTTTGTTTTTAAACCAATGGGTTGTTCCAGCTTTCAGGTTTATAAAATTTCTCTATTATGGAGACGAAAGCACTAATGCTGAAAAGAATGACAGCTTCATGCACAAAGATGCTGATCACATTCACAGCACATACTTAAGTCAAGAGGTTGTCAGAGCTGCTCCAGGGCGCTGTCTATTGGGACTATCCATGTAATCCATCATTACCATTACCATTACCATTATATGTGGTTCCCACAAACTAACCAGTAATGCACCATGCACTAGTGCTAAACACTGAGACACTGTGGGAAAGTAACAGATGATTGGTGAGGAGGGTTGTAAACACACTCTAGTGATCTGCGATGTAGAGGTGTAGAAAAACATAGATCGTGCAAATTGTTATTTAGCCTCATGTGTCAGACATGTAGAACATCTGTGTTTAGATAACATAGGCCTGTGGCAGACTTAGAGGCATCCTACCAAACACGCTTCAGATTCCTGCCCTGCCGTGGGAAAGATAAAGCACAGTGGCAAACTACGCCTGCGGGAATCCTTGAAATACATGGCAAACCAGCAGGTTTGGCCATCCTCTAGTAAGGACTGAGCACCACGGTGCCTGCATTCCCACCTGTGTGCCTCTGCCCAGGTGCTGCTCCGGGGATCCTCCAGTTTAAGAGGTAACAAAAATAAATGTACTCTTTGCATTTCATCCATGGGTTAGTGATCCTTCCTGCGTCCTGCCTGTGTTGGTTCACACAGACTCTAAGCAGGCTAGGCAGAAGAGAGAAATCACAGAGCACCTCTTGTAATAAAACCAATTTAGAAACTAATAATAAATTGAAATTACTGTGACTTTGACATACTTATGGAATTTACTAACATGAAAAAACAATCAGAGCTAACAGCTTAGCTTGCCACTGCTTGATTATCTACCAGCTTGAAGGAAAGACATCTAATTGGTCTCCCCCCTGACATTTTACATTGACTTACCTTATCAGAAGACGGTAAGATGCAGAGGGTCCAGCAGATACTGAATTTGCTGGACACAATCTGATGGATTTATTTGTTCATTTATCTTAGTTATTACCAGCAGCTGTTTGAGAGGTCTCTGTCTTAAACTCTGAACAGGTGGCATCAACTTGTCCGCTTTATTTTTTGTAGAAAACATTTCAGAGAATATTTTCAACTCTATCCCGGCTATGTTGGTCTATTTTCAATGATTCCGAATTCAGGAGTTTTAAAAGAAATTTCTGTTGTTTTGTGAGGTTTTTTTTCCTCTGAATTGTATCAGATACCAACATTCACGTCTGTGTGGCAAATCAGAAAAGGTTCTTTATTGGGAAAAATGCAAGTTTAATACAGATGTGATATAAATTACAAAAAATGTTTTAAAAATCACCTCTCCAGGATACCCAAATTAATTGAAGGTGCAGTCTCAGTGAAGCAAATAAAGTCTTTCCCAGATCATCTCTTACTTTAAAGCAGGTCATAAAAATAGTCCAGGCCTTGTCCCAGTTCCCAGATGGATATTCCAGTGCCCAATTCTTTTGCAAGCTCTAAGCGCAACTGGATGGACTAAGACAAAGACATATAAAGCAATTACCTTTTAGTCAGACATCAGACGCTCCATGCTTCCATCTCTTCATGCCATTATCACACTTTTTAAAAACATCTATCCTTGAAACAGATACTGAACAACCTAGTCTGTATTTCAAATACTCTCTGGCTAGCAAGCAATCATTCAGTAAGAGACAGTTAATTGCAACAGTTAATTCAATGACCTAATAAAAGATAACCAGCTAAATAGACAAAATGCCACAGAAATAAATCAGATTTATGAACTATGTGAAGGCCTATTCTAATTTAGGCTATCATTTCACAATGTACAGAAATTCTAACTCTTCCCAGAAATGTCTCAGGGGTAAAATAAAACTTCATCACTGAAGACAATTAGAACAACTTGTCAAATACCACCAAGATCTCTTACCTACCCTTGCCTTCCCCCAGGACAGAGCAACGCCACAATTCATCTTCTGCACTTCTTTTAGTTCAGACAATATATGTAATTATTTTTCAATCTTTTACTTTCAGGTTTTCCTACTCTGAAGTGCAGCACTGCAATGTTTAAGCTGCTTGCACCAAGGACATTTTTAGAACTCATTTCCACAGAAAACAGAACAAAGTATCAAGGCATCATTAACAGATCCACTGAGCCTAGTGTTCATGACTGCTTTTAATTAATCACGAACAAACCAGTTTTGCACAACTTGTGCAACCAGTGATTATAACATTAAAAAGGGGATGAAACACACTTGTCATGGGGTAATGAAAGTGTTTGCTGACCATCTTGATCACCATTATGTAAACAACTCTTTGATTTGCCCCAGCATACAAATCTCAAAATATTTCATTACAAGCTTGTTGAAATTGGAAAGAAAATCTGTTTCCAGAAATTCACCAACCATCACAGTTGAGTATCTATTAGAGAAGAAGTAATGGAAGAAATGTCCAGGAATGAGTGTCCTTAATCTGGTTAGTACTGACCACAGCATGGTGAAACCCTTCCACAAGGCCAAAGAGAACACAGCATAACAACATACAGCATGATCTATCTTTTTTCTGATGGTTCACAATGAAACCTTCTAACCCTCTCAGACAAGTACTACTAGCAAGAACATAGACATAGTAATTAATATCCCGTATCTCATATGTGCTAGCACTTCCACCAATATTAGATTAATGAAGAGAAATATCCTTGTGCTTAAGGTAACAATCCCATTCAGAAAAACAGAGCCTTGGATCATTTCACACTAGTTTAACCATATAAAATGTCTCTGTTCTCTGTAACTATTATATACTTTCACTACAGAAGCAATTCCCTTCCAATATTAAAAGCCAGCAGAGGCTTAACATACTGCCTTTAGCTTAATTTGAGAAAATCTAAAGATAGCTTCCTAGGAACTAAGGCTGCATGTAATCATTTTATCCTGTTTCCTGCTATACTGCAGACTACTGTGTAGACAGAAATTCTATGTCCTGCCAAAGGACTTCAGTAAGACCAAACGCTCAAGTTTTCAAAACACTGAAATATGTTCCACAGAAACAGAACCGAAGAACACAGGGTGATGCAGGTTGACGGGAAGAATCAAAACCCCAGTACAGAGGAAGGCAAAAGTTCCCCAAGCTTCCAGCCAACATGATCAGAAGGAAAGTTTCTTCTGCCTCTTGTCTGGCAATCAGCATGCCTGGTAGCACATAACTGTGCGCTCAAACAGATGCTCTCAGAGCCCTGGTTTGCCCTGGTGTGTCTAATCTCTAGACATGGCTAATCTTCAAAGATCCCCAAACCCCATTATGCATGAGAGAGAAAAAACAATCTTGTTGTACAGGCAGCTGAAGCTTTGAGTCATAACAACTGCATGAGGATAAACTTCTTTCACAAAAGCTTAAATCCAGTTCAACATTTTATGAAGTATCTCAATAATGCAACAAGTCAAGTAAACACCTCTTTGCTCTTACAGCACTCTGACATGAAAAAGTGGCACCTACCTTCAGTGTTGGATAGAAGACTGCATGTTTTCCTCCTTTATTTCTGCAAAACAGGAAAACGAAATAGTCACAATAGCTTTGATAGATTCCCATAGGACTTTAAGATGAGATTATAATTCAAAACTAGTTTTATTCCTGTCCACTAAAAGACAGTGCTGAAGAAAACTGATTTTATGTTTAAGATGTTACTGGTTATCTTATTAAAAATAAGATACACTAGTATGTTCAGCACATGAGCATTAATACGCCCGTATCAAAGACAGAGACTACTTGCCATTTAGTAGGTCCCAGTATTTAAATTTCTTACCCAGTGTTCATTCCACTCTGGAAGCTGAGCTCTCTGAAATCCAACACTCTTGCTATCAGCTTCCATTCATTCCGTACTTACTTGTACTCTGGCTATTCTGTCTACCGAGGGCATGGTAGGGCCAAAATCTTCTCTACTTCTAGTCCCTCTCTACTGCAGATATGAACTTCTACTCTCACTTTTCTAAAAAACATATCATAGCACATAAATCTAAAGTGGTGGGGAAAGAAAATCTGTTAAGAGAAGGTACACAACATAGCTAAAAGTCAAGTATGAAACCATGTCCTGCAGGTATCAGTTACAGGATTACTTGTCAGAAAGGTCCTCCTGACAAGATCATACTACTTAGATGGGCTTTGACAAAGCCAGCAGCTGGAAAATAAGACAGTTCAAAACATGACTGTATAGAATCAAAGACCTTCTAAAGGAGTCTTTGCATAGCGATTGCATCGTGTCACGACCACAACAAAAATCACAGGTTATCATCTAAAAGATTCCTTAGAAAGCTTGAGGATGAGGCCTTTCAAAGCATCTAAAGAACATCTAAAGTTTCTTAATAACTAACAGAAAAATTTTGGGAAGAAATCAGGTAACTTTCATGATTAAGATGAAAGTTCCCAACATCTTTGGGTCTAACACTTTGCCCAAGAACTGGTTACACTGAACTCTAATACAGGCAGAGTTAGGCAAGACACTTATTTACCCCACACTAGTGGCCTTTGAGGAGGACAACTCTTTAAAAGAGATGAAAAATCTGTCAGTGAAAATAGAAGATCTGAGAAGAGATCTCACAACAGAGATGGTTTAATACTAGATCTAAGTAAACACACTGGTATATCTCATTGCAACTGGATTATAAAACTGTCAAGTAGTAAAAGACAGTTGCACCTACTAAATGGGCATCTGAAAAAGATGAAGATATTTGGCTGTCAGACACAAACTGTGAAAGATTTTCCCCAAATTACTATATTTCAGGTTAAATTAAATGCTAGCAGTATAAAATCATAGAATCATAGAATCATAGAATGGTTACGGTTGGAAGGGACCTTAAAGATCATCTAGTTCCAACCCCCCTGCCATGGGCAGGGACACCTTGCACTAGACCAGGTGGCTCAAAGCCACATCCAGCCTGGCCTTGAAGACATCCAGGGATGGGGCATCCACAACATCTCTGTGCAACCTGTTCCAGTGCCTCACCACCCTCTCTGTGAAGAATTTCTTCCTGATATCTAATCTAACCCTCCCCACTTTCAATTTGTACCCGTTAACCCTTGTCCTATCACTACAGGCTCTTGTAAAAAGTCCTCTCCCAGCACCCTTGTAGGCCCCCTTCAGATACTGGAAAGCTGCAATGAGGTCTCCTCGGAGCCTCCTCTTCTCCAGGCTGAACAAGCCCAGTTCTCGCAGCCTTTCGTCATAGCAGAGGTGCTCCAGCCCTCTGATCATCTTCGGGGCCCTCCTCTGGACTCGCTCCAAGTGGTCAATATCCTTCTGATATTGAGGGCTCCACAGCTGGACGCAGCACTCCAGGTGGGGTCTCACCAGAGCAGAGTACAGGGGCAAATATACAGACAGGGCAAGCTACACTGGGCACAGACACCAAGGCTACATTTCAAAATCCCTAATAATGAGAAGGGCGAGTTAGAACTGGTCTCACAGCACCACTTTACCACTTAGGCTAGGAGGAAAGCCAGAGTGCATGGACAGACCAAGTAGGAATTGCTCCTACAATCTCCCACATTACATAAACGCATACTTACCTATACAGTGCACTGGGCCAAGCACTCAGAGACAACAGATTTCTGTAACTATTTGTAATAGTCTCTGCCTGCCAGTCTCCGTTGCTTGACCATCCTTATCACTACGATTAGTAAAACCAAGCTCTTGTACCAAAGATTTTCCTCAAAACTATTTTTGGTGAAGTTATTGGTAATCACCCCACAGCACCCCAGAGGCTCAGCACTCAGAGCCTCTCAGCAGGTAACTTTGATGGACAACTTCTAAAGACATGACTCATCAGACTTCTCTTCTAGAGATTGTTTTGGCTTATGTTATTTCATTAATCCTTCTCTGATTTACTTCTCTTGCCTGAAGCACTCTTTTATGCTGCAGTTCAGTGTTGACATACAGATCACAAACAGCAGAATTTCCATTTGCTGAATTCAGCTGTATACTAGAGTTAACTGGTAATTCATTGTGTACTGGACCATGACCAAAAATATTTGCAGAACACTAAGTTAATAAATGTAACTCACTTTTTGTATTCAAAGTAATGTTCAGCAATTTGTTCATCCCAGACAAATTTTGGTTTGTGCTCCTTCAAGGTTTCAATGTACCTACAAATTAAAAATACAGATATGGAATTAACTTTTCTAAAAAGCAGTTATGAAATTACATTGCTGAAATTTCTAAAAAAGCAGTTTTACCATGTTTAGATGTTGAACACTGTATCAAAATATCTTTGCTCTGAAAATGAATTTCCTCAGCCACTTCACAATTTGCCATGTTCACATTTTTAGGCATTTTTTATAAGCAATACCACAATTAATGTTCATCAATTAACAAATCTATAAAGGCACATGAAAGCAGTGCTTCAGTATTTCTACAGTCTGATTCCTGTACGCCAAAGCATAGGAACTGAAGTGATCCCTAGGCTGTACCTAATTATGTTCTCAAAGGCTAATCAATGCAATTCTTAATTATAAGGTACTATTGGTTTATAACCAGTAAAGTTCTTCTATAAAATGGGCGCAGTTAATCTTCTAAAAATTAATTTTTTAAAAAAGCGTGTTTTCAAGGAAACTTTCTGCTAAGCAACTCTGCATACAAATTTTCTCCACCACTAGCTTCTTGGCATTATTCCCTTGCATGGACATCTTGAACGTGGAATGACGTACCTTATTCCTTACTTTACACACAAGTGAGGACAGAATGCTACTTGCACCCAAAAAACTGCATAGGGAACTGGCGTGGAATACTTAGTATGTTGTAAATTCATGTTCTTGGTTAGCTCACAGTATTGTCTCGGTGTAGAGAGAGTGTCTCCTTGTGACTGCATTTCTGACTGCACAACAGAGGTGCTTGCTGCCACGTGTAAGACCAGAAGATGGCAAGCTATTGCCAGTGATAGAGGCCACGTACGTGTCACGGAAATAAGAGAAGCCTCTATCACACGTTCCTCTGCCTCTTCATCTTTTTAACCTGCATCTTTGACCAGCAAGAAGGCTGACCTTTGCTGACGACTTTCCCATCTAAACATTAGGAGGTTATCTGGCCACAGGCCAAGCACCGTCAGTTTCTTTTTTACCTTGGGGATTGTATCAGGAATTTGAATTCCAAGCCCCATTATCAGTACTCCATCATGATTATATAAAGCTGTCATAGGTAAACACAGGGATCATAAGGTAGCATTAAGATTATTTTTCTGTTTTTGCAAAATCTATCACAATCCTCTCTTTGACAATATATCTCATTCTTGCAATAATTCCGCTTCTCATGACAGAATTTGCATGGAAAAAAATTGCCTTCAAATCATCCTATTTTTAAGTATGAAATGTCCTTGATTTCCTCCTGATTTTCTCCTGAAACCTCCTGATTTCCATCAGTCACTATCCTGACTCCATCAGTGTTGAAATTCCACCACACTATACACTTTAAAAAAAGAGAAAAAGCTTGTCTTTCTCAGTTTGAAAAAGATTTATTCTCTCATTTGCTGTTATTCTAAATGCAGTTAAAACATTCAGCATTTCAGGGAATATCTTCTCTCTTTTGCTGTGGCTTGCTTATTCATATACACACATGAAAAAGCTTTAAAATTAGAAATACAACTTGAAGCAATTATTATAGCCTATTATATATAAGATATATTGTTATTTTAAAGCTCTTCAGGCATGCACTGCATTTAATGAGAGCCCATCCTGACCAGGCACAGAGAATTTATTTCCCTTTCTCCTGCCTCTAGGCTTTATCACAATGGTAGGTAAGAGCAAAAAATGAACAAGTTCATCTTCAAATGACATCTATGGTGATGAGAATAGCTCCAAGCTTGAGTTGGGGAAATAAGAATTGCTAGGCCCAAAATTGTCATTACTATCCATTAATTTTCGGGGACCTACTTGAAATGTTTTAATTTGGTCCTCTATTAAGGAAACCAACAACTTAAAGTACAATGTTCAAAACAACTGTATTTTCTTAAACTGTATCCTTTCTGGTGGGAGAAAATGTCAAAAAACAATATAATCTGGAGACATTTTTGAACTTTACATTGAAATGTTTTAAAAGTGAGAATTTTTTTGGCCTTCTCTACTTTTTAGAAGATCATTCCTAAAGAACAGCTGAAAAATTGATGAATATACTACAAGCTAATTCAACCATGACACTAACAGTTTTGATAAAGGATTGCTTCCATGGTAATAAATCAAAACATAAAAGGAAGAAAATTTGAAAAATAAAAAAGATTATAGAGAGAATTTGAGTTCTCACTCACTTGATCCCTAAAATTGAAGCTTGCAAAACGTAGAGATGCTTTGCAATTTAACAATCTTTAGATAGTAGCCTTTAAAATAGTTTTGCGAGCATGCATAAGTTAATGAAAAGCCTAGTTGCAGGCACTAGTAATATAATATTATATATGTGTGTGTGTGTGTATATATATACAGTATTAAACAGTGTGCAGTAATAAAGGTCAGTAATAGACTGAACAATGAAGTAAGCTTTCACCAAACTGGTCCTATCAGGATCCCTCAAGCACCTTTTAACTCATCTCTTCTCACCATTCAATACTCACTAACACCATTTTTAGAATATGTAAGTATAAACTTCCAACTTTAAAAGGTGGTAAAGTTGTTATCCCTTCCTTGCACACCAAAGAATCCAGATTTTTTTAACATAAATCCTACAAGATCTTTCAAAAGCAAGTACATTATCCAAGAAAAAGAAAGCTAGTACATATTTTCTAGAGAATCAAAAGAACACGCTAAGTAACATTAAAAGTTTTTACTCTGAGGATTTATGCATCTGAGTGGAGAGCATACTCTAGAAGCCTTATTTATTCTGTCTGCAGGGTATGTTATTCAAAAATAGTCCTGTTAAGATCTTTAGATTATTTCATGCAAAACAACTTAAAACCAAATACAGTTGGCAGAGAGACACCAATCTGTTCACTTTCATTCCTACTGGGTGTCTTGGGTAAAGCTGTTAAAGTATCCAAGTAGCAGCCTAGAAATGAATATAACCAAGCCTCATCTTCCTCTATTAATCTTCCCTCTGTCGTTGCTTGCACTTTGCTCTGTCAGTTTTAAAAGGCAATAATACCTTTTTCTATTATTTTAATAGTAAGAGCTTTCCAACAGAGTTGTTTCTCTGTGATTGTGTTGCTTCCAGTTTTATAAAGTCATTCTCACTGATTTCCCCACACTTCATCACTGACTTGACAAATGACACTTTTCAGTGCTTCCCCACCAACCTCACACAAACCTACTGACCTTCTTCTACTGTCTGCCATGACACACCAGCCCAGTGGAAACAAGCAGAACCTCAGCAACGTTTCTATCGTTACCCTGGGCTCTTCAGAAGGGAATTAGATGGGCTTTAAGGTCCCTTCCAACCCAAACCATTCTGTGATTTTATGATTTAGAAACAATAATACTTGGATGGACACAAGTGCCAAGAGGGAGCCAAGTGTTCCTATTTTATAGAACTCTGGGGATAGAGAAGACAATCTCAAGCTTTTCAGAAGCATCCTCTTCTCGCTCCTGTCTCACGGAAACAACAAGGACTAAAACCTTTCAGTGCCTTACTGTGGCTACAGAAGGAAGCACAAACATGACAGCATCTCTGTGTATACAGATTTACATGTTAGCAGTGCCCCTCGTTCTCATTTAACTTCACAGAGGTTTTAGAGGAAAAGCCCCGTCTGAGAATGCATGCAATGGTACCCCAAGGAACCCCGAGTACAGCTCAAAGTACTCTAGTGCCTGCTGTTTTCTAAAAATCACCAAAGTGGTGGTTCTTTACAAAAAAGAAAACAAAGCTACAGTTAGATATTGATCAAAGCATAGAATTAATCACACACAAGGCAGAAAAAGGTGTTAACGTTTGTATAGGTAAGGTTTTGACTCAAAAGGACAGATATGAGAGGAACATATGAAAATCTCCTTAAAGAAGACAAGATCTTTATTTCTAAGCCAATAAGTATTGCGCAGACATAACTAGATTGAGGCAGAAGGGTTGCTTATCTGGTGCTACACTTTCAAAAGCACGCCACTGTTTAGCAGCTTCGTTTATTTCGTAATGATACAGATTTTTTGTGGGTTTTGTTTTGGTTTGTTTGGTGGTTTTTGTTTTGGTTTGTGGTTGGTTTGTTTGTTTGTGGTTTTTGTTTGGCTTTGTTCTGTTCTTCTATTTTTCAAGACACCTGGGGCTACAAAATGGGAATTTTTTTTCCCCGTGCAAATTATTTATGATAACAACTGTTTACTAAGTTGATTTTTGTTCATATGCGTCAACTTTTTCTATCAGAAATCTTTGTTGTTCTTGACCACTGCCAAGTCTCAACTTTCGAGCTAAAGTATCAGACAATCTTTTTGCTTGTATTTGTTCAGTTAGGCATAGGTTTTTCTTTCTGATTTATCCAATCTAACACATGACAGGTCACTATTTATAGTCGGGTTTGGTTTTGGCAGCTTTTGCTGTCTTGAAAGAATGAGTTTGTTGCCTTTAAAAGTCAGCTGTGCTGTCTGAACTTCTCTTTCAGCTCTAATCCAAGTGCATCCTCCTGTCAGGCAGAAGACAAATTAATGGAGAACAGTTTACTGTGCTAGAACAAAAAATCAGGATTCAGGCAAGCTCACAGAAACAAAAAAGCACAAGAGAACTTAATGAAATAAGGCTTACTGTTCCGGACTAGCTCAAGTAACTAGTCTATTTAGTCATACTAAAATTTGACTTGAATTTGACTACGAGCTAGAGCCCTGACGTTCCACAAGCAAAGGATTTAAAAAAAAAAAAAATTTTTTTTTTATCTAACTCTGTATATTGGTCAATTTGAAGTCTTTGATAAAAACAAATCTTCATTTGGACTTGACAGCCTTTGCACACACTTTAACAACCCTGACAATTCAACGAAAATGTGATGTTGTCTTTGGTCTTCATCACAGAACTAATGCCAAGTAGGCATGCTACTGGGCAACCGAAGAGTAACAATATTCAACCTAGCTCTCACAAAGCAGAAAAATGTTTCAAAGCTACTCCATGTCTGTTAATTATCCCCTGTGATGTATCAAGCCCAACCTCTGAAGACCTGAACACCAAACACTTTCTCTAAGGTAAAAGAAAC